ATCAACATATCTTATCCACTTTGTGATATTATTCCTGAAAGGATTCTTAATGGATATTATATGATTATTTTCAATATGATCAAGATATAATTCTGCCAATATTCCGGATAAGGGCATTCCCATAGGTAGACCATCATTAATTTTATAAAAATTGTCGTTAAATTTACAATAGTTTTGTGTAACAATATGTTTTAAAATAGTATTAAGTTGTGAGGTAATAGTAGCATTTTTAAAATAGTTATCGAACAGAATGCTTGCCAACTTCAAAGTTAGATCTATAGGAACGATCGTATATAGGTTTGTTATATCAAAGGATAGTAACATCTTGTTATTTAAATCTAGATCCTTAAAGTTGTGAATAAATTCCATGGAATTTAAAACGGAAAATTTAGGAAAATTTAGGTATGTTTAAACACATGTGTTGTACCTACATTTTCTAAATTTTAACAACTCTTTTTCTGACGTAAGTTTTTTTAGATAAGAAAAAAATTTTAATGTGATTCTTCTATTTTATATTTTCCATTTATACAGCATTTGGCTGATGATGACTGGGTGTAGTCGAAACCGGTACCTTTAATAATAAATAATTCACAAGCAAGTAAGAAGTTTTTTATTAAATTAAACATTTTCCTTTACATAAAATTGATAAGTTTTCGTGAAGGTGAATTTCCAAAGTTTGTAATAGGCCTGATGGGCATACCCTCCTTATGAAATTTTGGTAAGGAGTAAATTGACGGTAAATTAGGCTTGATATCCATAAAGTAAGTAGTTTGAAATTTTCTATCGGTGTTATTGAAATAAGGCGTATACCTAGCCTTATTTCATTAACACTTATATATTAATTATATCTTGAGTGCTCTTAATCATTTTATCTAATGGGTTAAAATTTATCTTTTTATAATTATTCTCAAGTAAAAACTCAAGACGTTTCTGTACATATATATATCTATCTAATATGACTATGCCCGCTCCCTTATCAGCCCTGCCAAAACAGCATCATTAAGCTTCAGCTTTCGTTTTATTGATTTGATACATTTCCAGTTGTTTAAATTATTTTTGTCAACTTTGTTAATTATTTTAGTTTTGTTATTATTGTTTAAGAAATGTATCAAATCACTTTTGATCTCATTGTAACAAGAACAATTTTTAATCATGACATCTAAATCAATTGCTGTATCAATTATACTAACTTTAGGAGACAGAGCAAATTTGTGACCATTGTTGAGTGAATTTATTTCGTCTTGGCTAAATTGTATATTCGTATAGTTCTTAAACTGATCTGTTATGGCTTTCTTGTTTTGTGAAACATTGTTCCTTTTTGAATTATTCATTTCTTCCTTCTTCTTTAGATTATTGAATTTATTGTTCTTCTTTCTTCTGTCTTCATAACCGAATAGATATTATTATTTTCCAATATTATTTCCATATTATTTTCCTGTTTAACTCGTTTCTGTTTCTCGAACGCGCCAAAAATTATGGCTTGTCGTTTAGTACCTGAGGTACTAGGCGTAGATTTCTTGTTTATATGGGTTGTCGACTTTGTATACTTCTGCAATGTATCTTTTTTGTCACCATCCAGACGAATATTACAATACTTGCACATTACAGTATTTGTATCAGACAGGTACAGGCCATCTTCTTTAAATTGTTTTACTCGGTCTTCTAAATCTTTCTTATGGCGCCCCATATTAAAAATTAACAATCGAATTTATTTTATACACGTACGTACTCAAAGCGTTACAAAATACTGTATTTTATAACGGTTTGAGTATTTTAAATAATGTGGCTGAAGGTGGATTCATATTCGAATCTGTTCCAGATTCAGATTCATAAAATTACAGTTGACCAGACAAGTTTTGAACATATGAATTGAAAAATCGTTTTCTGAAACTACAGGAGTTGTAGCAATCTGCGACTACCCTGAATAATTCGAATAGACCCTCTAGTATATTCCCTGTCTACCCTCACCCCAGGTTTACTTAGAGGCAGAGTGGTGAATATTTGAATACTCATAGATTTTAATAGCAAATTTAAAAATTACTTTCGTAATAACTAGAGATTGCAGCACCCTGTAACCAGTCTACATTATTGCATTAGGTCCCCTGGTATCCTAGCCCAAGTATTTGGCATGTACTCGGAATATAACTACTGTGTATTTTGTTCGTTAACGTGATTTTTATTTCCGTATTGCTAGGAATGTGTTTTCAATCTTATATTACAGCTAACTTATAAGTTTTAATAATAATAACTTTATTGCCCAGTAAATAAAAGTAAATATAAAATAGAAAAAATATAATAAAATAAAAATTCATAATGCATGAAAGCAAATCGCGAGGTGCCGGTTCAGAAAGTTAAAGATTAACCCCTGTTAACCCCCACCAGAAACCTCGAAAAATATAAAGAAAAACAAAATTAAAATTGAAACTATTTTACAGAGAAAGAAAAAACAAAAACATGCACAAAAACAACGAAAAAAAAACTGAAATCAATAACAACTAATTAATATTACAAAACTTATGAGTTATAATTCCGTGACGTGCGCGACGTAATTAGATAAAGGAACACCCCGCAACAAAGAATCATTCTGATTAAAAAGTATTCTATTAAACAACCGATACCAGAACGACCCAATACTCAATAATCTCTCAGACGTAGAAATACGATTGTAGGATTTATAAATGTGATAAGAGAAGCATCTTTCAAATAAAGATGTTCTATGGGCCGGTAGCCCGATAAGAAAACAACACCTTGTCAAGCGATCATGGACATTGCTTCCAAATTTAACCCTCCTAAACAAGTAATCGGGAATCTTCCATAACATTAATTTATGATAAGAAACCAACGTTTGGGGCTCTCTTTTGTTTTTCATAGACAACCACCCAGCTTCAACTAACTTATGAGAAACAATTTTGTATTTTTTGAATTCTATTTGAATCAAAAGCAGTTAAAGCTGAGACAAAACGAGAGCATCGCACAAATTTCACTTAATATCCATCGGCAAACAACCTCTATGAGGAAACAACAATCTCAAAGCGAAATATGCATTTTTAATATATTTAGATATGTGATTTGAAGATCTGAGAGAGGTATCAATTTTTCAGCCCAAAACTGGTATATTTATCCACCACTGGAAGACTTGTATTATTGATAAGTATGACAGCGGATTTAGCAAGCTCCGAAATGATTAGTTTCCTCCCAAAGAACATGACAGCAGACCTCTCAGGGTTAATCCTCAAACAATGTTTAGAGGCGGCCACATAAACGCTATTAAGATCATTATTAATAAAATCAACAGCCACTCGCCAATCGGAAGGATGAAAAGAGTAAATCAGCTGTGTGTCATCAGCGTAAACGTAAGGTGTACAATGCTGTACATGGTCAAAAAGGTGACTGGTATATATAGAAAATAAAATTGGCCCCAAATGGAACCCTGCGGCACCCCACAGGAAACGAAACGACACTGAGACGACACGCCGTCAATCTCAACCGACTGAGATCTCCCACGTAATAGTCAGTAATTAAGTTTAGAGCAATCATATCAAATCCCAAAGAAGATAAGATAGATAAAAGGATGCTGTGGCTTACGGTATTGAAAGCTCGACTGAAATCTAACAGAGTAAGTAGCGCAACATTACCCTGATCTACCGAAGAAATAATATCATCCGTGAGTGCAATCATTGTAGTTATAGTACTAAATTTTTTACGAAAACCCGACTGAAATGAAGGAAGCAATTCAAATTTATCAAGATATACCACGAGCTGATGCTTCAACACCTTTTCAAGGATTTTCGAAAACGCAGGCAACAAACTGATTGGTCTAAGAAGTTTAAAACTTGACGGATTTTGAGTCTTTGGAATCGGGTTAATTAAAGTATGTCTCCAAACATCCAGAAACCGACCCTCCGCAATGCAATACTTAAGGATATGAGTTAGGTAAGGTAAAATGATAGGAAGGGAAAGCTTAATCATATCAGCACTAATTTCATCATTACCCTCAGAAGACGACTTTAAATCATGTACGAGCTTCTCCACCAAACTGGGGTTACCCACTACAAAATTTGAATACCTTGCCGTTACTAGACAAATTTGAATAAAAATCTTAAATCGAGGAATCAAACGGCATGGTGTTTAGAATATCAGAAATGCTTGTAAGAGAAAAGTCGTTTAAGTCTTCAATTTTCCTCAAGTCATCCGGAATATCGCAATGGGAGTTTTTCTTCAAATGGAGCTACTTTACTGAAGACCACATTAGTTTTCCGTTCCGGGTATTCCCAATGTGACAAAAATAAGCTCGTTTTTCAGCTTTAAGGGTAAATGCCGTCAAATTTCTAAGAGACTTAAAATATTCCCATTCACTCTAAAATCTGCCCTTGCCTTATCCCTCAAGGACATCATAAGCATTAAATTATCAGTGAGCCAAGGCGGACGAGACTTGTTTCTTTTTTATATTTAACAATAGGAGAAAATATATCAAATGCAAGAGTAAGATCATCATTAAGAAAAGTAAGTTTATAGTCAATGTTATCAATAAGAAACAAAAGGTTAAAAGGAATTTCCTTCAAGAACACATGAAAACCTGCAATGCTAATACCTCTTCTGGGAAAAATTTACCCAGAAAAGGAAGTCGGGGAAGAAAAAGATGCAGTGCAGATTAATTCACGAAAAATAACGTCATGATCGGACATCTGAGAAACATAACCGAAGAAAAAGCAAAGATAAGATCAATGAGGTTAGCCGCGGTGCCAGTAATTCTTGTTGGAACATAGTTCAGCTGCTTGGCATCAAAGGTAGAAAATAACGTCATTAATGCCTCTGTATTTATATTCGCTGGATCTAAAAAATCAATATTAAAATCGGCATAGATAACAATCTCATCGGTGAACTTCCCTCAAGTTCCTCCAAGAACGCTCGACAAGGAAAACCTGGAGGACGATAAACCACCCCCAAAGTAACGTTACGTTTATTTAAATGAAGTAGCACCATAGTTGTTCAATATTAAATCACGTATTGAGTCTGGAATATTTAAGATTGTTTTTAATATAAAAACAGCCGCCACCACCCCTACTAATCCCATCCACTCTTTCCACATTATACCCATCAATCCTCAACGACTCGATAGTAATAGCTGGCGACAACCAGGTCTCAGTTAAAGCTAAAACATCAAAAGCATCATTTTTAATAACATTAAAGATTTGATTGAGTTTGGGTAATACGGTGGACGCGCGGGGGGATGGCGAGCAGCTGTGGGTAATACTTCACATTAAAAAGTTGCAAATAGCTGTGGGGGTGGCATACCGACCCCCTGATTTGGGCGTATCGTTATTTTTAGATCATATTGTAAATGCACTCGCAGACATTGCGCCAACCGTAAACGAATTAATACTGGCTGGTGATTTTAATATTGATGTCATTAATCTTGATTCATATTCCTCTCGCTGTTTATACGATATACTTTCTTCATTCAATCTTCATCAAATTATTACTCAACCAACAAGAATTACGGTAAAATCATCCACTTTAATTGATGTGATCTGTGTTTCGCATCGAGACCACGTCGCAGAATGTGGCAACTTAACGGGTATCTCTGATCATCTAGCTGTTTTTTGTAAATTGAAGTTAACATTCCAAAAGTCCAAGACTGCTTTTAAATATATACGTTCTTTTGCAAACTTTAATTACTTGCCTTTTAGAGAGGATCTATATAAAACACCCTTCTAGAATTTATACGATTTAGACAACATTAATGATAAAATTAACCTTTTGGTTAGCGACCTACGGGCGATCTTAGATGTTCATTTGCCAATAAAAAAAGTTAAATCTGACCGTCCGCCGGTTTCTTGGATAACGGACACGGTTAGGCAAATGCAGCAGCTGAGAGATAAGGCTCATAAAATTTTTTTAAAAAACAAAACCGAAGCCAAGTGGTTGTACAATAGACAAATTAAGAATTGTACAGGGTGGGCAAATTTGGGTATTATTATAGGCTATCTCAGAAACTATAAGAAATACGAAAAAAGTAGGTGCCATGTCCCGGTCTCTTTTTTCGAGACTAATCCAATCCCGCAAACACCGAATCTCTATCTTCTTTTGTTTTTAAGTTATAGCCAAAAAAAATACAACTTTGTGTTGAATCTCAAAAATCATCAAATATTTTTAAAATTTTTCAACGGCAGTATATTCTACTTAAAAAGTGTCTTAAGAATGTATCAACCCCATTTCTCTAATTTCAAAAATAAACGAATTATGAGCATTTTTTGAAATCACGAAAATTTGACTTTTTGGGTATAATTTAAAAACAAAAGAAGATAGAGGTTTGGTGTTTGCGGGATTGAGTTACTATCGAAAAAAGAGACCGGGACATGTTACCTACTTTTTTCGTATCGCTTATAGTTTCGGAGATAGCCTATAATAACACCCAAATTTGCCCACCCTGTACAAATGATGCAATTTTAAGGGAGCGTAAAGTCTATATGGCACAGGAGATTCAAGGCGGAGGAAATATTTGGCATGTACTTAAAAAAACTGTATTCTAAATGATAGCAACCAAAAGTCTTTGCCGATGAATCTAGCCAATCCTGATACCATTAATGACTACTTTATTAGTTGTGCACCCAAAAATAACTGTCTGGACAGGGGATTGATTGTTTATCATTCGAGTACTACCTTAACGACTACTACATTCTCGTTCAAATATGTGACGGATAATAATGTGGAGGCAGTTATTCATGATATGAAAAGTAATGCTGCGGGGTACGACGGTTTGAATATTAAGTTATTAAATGTTTGTATGCCACACATTATTGAATATCTGACACATATAATAAATGAATGTAATCTGACTGCCGTGTATCCATTAGTTTGGAAGCATGCCTTGATTACGCCCTTGGCAAAAGTAAAAAAACTACTCTCTACTCGGATCTGCGACCTATCAGTGTCTTACTAATTCTTGGAAAGGTAATAGAAAAGCTTATGTTCTTGCAATTAAATGAATTTGTTCGCGATAACAATTTGTTGCCAATGACACAGTCGAGGTTTCGACCCGGTTACAGCTGCACCACAGCACTGCTGTCGGTTGTGGATGACATAATTCGGGCGAGGAATAAAGGTAAAGTTACATTGTTATGTCTGTTGGATTACTCTAAAGCCTTCGACCGTATTGATCATGATATATGCTCAGTAATTTCCCACCATGCTGGGCTGGATGATAATTCTAAGAACTTGTTAACTGATTTTCTTACCGACAGACAGCAAACAGTCACGGTTGGTGAGCTTCGCTCGGGGCCGCGTGCGGTGAGTTGTGGTTGCCCACAGGGTTCGGTATTGTCACCTTTTATATATTCCATATATACTAGTCAATTCCAGCGTTCGATCAAACACTGTCAGAAACAATTTTACGCCGATGACACGCAAATTTACTTATCATTTACGGAGAGGGACTTAAATTTGGCAGTTACCCATTTCAATTCTGACTTGGCGAACTTGGTTGACGTGTCTTGCCGGCATGGCCTGGATCACAATATAGCTAAGACGAAGCTGCTTCTATTCTGCCCCAAAAATAAAAGAGATAGGATTAAACAAAAAATTCATATAACGATAGATGGAGTAAAGTTGTCTTTTGGGTCATAGGCAAAAAAATCTTGGCATATTAATTTGTATTCAACTTGTATTAAGCGGTCATATGCTCGATTAAAAATGATTTATACTTCTAGAACCTATCTTAACATAAAAACGAAAAAATTGCTCTGTGAATCTCTCATATTAGCGAACTTTAATTATGGGGATATTCTGTATTCCCCTTTTTTAACTTTACGATTGAAACAGAGGATACAGAACGTGCAGAACTCTTGTCTTAGACTTGTTTATGGCATTAGACGGCGAGAACATGTCAGCCATAGGTTGGTTGATGTGGGGTGGCTGAATATGGAGAATCGCAGAATATCCCACTCCGCGTGCCTGTATTATAAAATAATTTTGACTCATAAGCCATCTTATCTGTACAACAAAATAACGTTTAGAACTGATTTGCACTCCGTAAACATAAGATTTAAGGGAACATTAACGCGTCCAAATCATTCTTTTAAATTTTTCAAGAAATGTTTCTCTTATCAAATTACTAAGGTATATAACAATTTACCTAGAACATGTGCCGAGTGTTCATCGGTCAATTCATTTAAAAAAAATATTACCGACACCTATTCGCATGTCAGTTATGAGCCCTCTTGCCCTGTGAATGTTGGTGATACTTAGGGGGGTGGGGGTGCGGTGGGGATCGAGTAACGTTACACTCATTTATTTGCTGTGCTGTCTGAGAGATCTCAACCCATCAAAATCAAAAATTATTACTTTCGGACCTATGAATATTAATGATTGCAATGAAGCAAAGAATTTAGGTCTTATTTTGGACAGGGAGCTTAGATTTAAGAGACACGTGTCGTCGTGTTTACAAAAACCATATGGCATATTGAGAACGCTTTATCCCCATCGCCACACCCTTCCAATAGATATTAAAGTAAATTTGTGCGATAGTTTGATACTGTCAATATTTACGCATGCTGATGTTGTATATGGGCCCAACCTGTTGGAAGTAGATAAATATAGAATTCAACGAATGCAAAATAATTGTCTACGGTTCATATACGGAATGCGTAAGTATGACCGAATTTCTCACACTCTGGGGATGTGTGGTTGGCTTAATACAGCCATACTTAACCTTTTTTTCTTTAGGGCCACATACCTATATTTGGTAAGTTACGCGGGCCGCAACATTATATACATAATGTAATAGTATTTTACACAATAAAAAACGAATGTATTTTTTACAATATTTATTTGTTACCGTTATAATATTATTTTTACACAAAAAATAATTTATGTGATTTTTGATACTGTGACAATTTTTTTACTACTTGAGAGAAATCGGGTTTGTAATTGGTACATGCTATCCTCAATACATCATCAAGATGAGAATCAGTAAGTCTATTTCTGTAAATGTTCTTCGCATATTTCATTTTTGAAAATGATGATTCACAAATATACGTTGATGCGAACAACGTGAGCAGTAAAAGGGCACACTTTTGTAAATATTTCTATTTTTCTGGTACTACTCTACAAAACTCATTGTACTCCTGACCTTCTCTTTTTTCTTTAAAAATAGCTTCCAAACTTGTATCGTTCTTAAATTCGATATATTCATCAAATATCTTTGCATAATCACATCCAAAAGATGCTAATTGTTCTCCAGAAAAGTACTAATAATATCGAGATAGTCAGTGCCTCTGGTTTAATTCTTCATAGGAAGAAATTAAAAAAAATCTTCGTGAATATAATTTTCTTCGGTACAATACCTAACGAAAACGGAACATTGTGCTGTTGATGAAATATCGGTGCTAGAATCAAAAGCCAAACTAAAATGTTTACAATTTTTTATTTCTTCTATGACGCGATCAGAAATGTATTTTGAAATATCTTCAATACGTCTAACGCAGGTAGAATCAGAGAGCTGCATGTTTTTTATTTGAGATATTATTTGATTTTTATTACTAAACTTATCAAATAATATATTGGAACCACTGAGGAAACATTCCTTCACAACCTCTGCATCGGTAAATGGTTTCATGTGTTTACCAAGTATATAACAAACTTCATACGATGCTCTTGTCACTGCTGTATCTTGTGATAATAACACTGTTTACAGATTTATAAATGAATATGTACTCAAATCTGAATTTTATGCAGGCTTTATGCTTACACCCCTCGGCCCCTACGGCGAATCTGTGGTCTAGAAGGATACCAGAGGACCTAATGAAATAATCTAGATTAGTCCCAGGGTGTTGCAGTCTTTAGTTATTGAGAAAATAATTTCTAAGTATGCTATTGAAAACGAGGAATATTCAAAAATTCACCCCTCGGGCCCTACGGCAACTCAATCTTATTCACTCAACTTTCAATCTTATTCCATATAACTGGCAGCAATGAAATGATGCGATACGACTTTGGGTCAGTTGCCTCTTTATTTACATTTTGCATCAGTAACGTCGTCTCCGCACAGTTTCAGGCTGTTGGAAACCTTTTGTACTGCATACAATTATTAAAAATGGATTTTATAATGCCAAGCTTAAATTGCCATAGTTGTTTTATGTATTCCGGGAACATCCCATCATTCCCAGGTGCTTTATCCAACCTCATCTGCCCAATAGCCTCATTTATCTCAGGCATAGCCAATCCCCAATCCTCCATTTTATCAGCTATATATTGTATCTCATTATTTGTTTCTACAGGACCACCCACTACCAAGGTGTCCAGCACCGCGTTCGCAGTTTCCCCTCATCCCTTTGTCTTCTCTCCATTCATTTTTATCGATCTATATACATTTCTTATTTTAACCTTTTGCATGTGCATTTTGTATATGAAGCCCCACGGGTTCTCACTATTTTTCTCAACATATTTCTTCCAGATTTCCATTTTTGCGTGACTTATCTTTCTTTTATATTCTCTAACTCTATCCCTGTAGTTTCTCTTTGACCTTAACATAACTTCCTCCATCATTCCCTCTCAGTCCTCTCTGCACCTCTTTCCTCATCCTTTTCACTATTCCGTTATCATAATCCAGTTCCCTATTCCACCACCTATTTCTCTTATTTCCTCCCTGTCATCTACCCGGGAGGGTCTTAGCTATAATGGTTTTCATTTTAACATTTAGTCTTTCCACCATCTCATCAACATCGCTTAGATCGTTCATTTCTCTCACAAACTTTCCGTCTAGGATATCCCTCATTTCTTCCTCCACCTTTCCCCATTTCACCGTTTTAATATTGCCATTACTACTTATTTCTTTATCTTTTTCTGTTCCGATCTACCCCATCGGACCAAGAAGAGGATGCCGCGGTGATCAGAGCTGGTGAGAGCTTTTACTCTCCATTCATCTACCAAGGATAGAGCCTGCCCATTTACAATAGTCAGATCAATATTTGATTCGCCATTAAGCTTCCAGAAAGTGGGAATATTACCCGCATTCACTTCTTGTAATATTTCACACTTTCTATCAATATTTCTGCCATGCCATATTGGCGATTTAGCATTGGCGTCGGTGCACACAATGATTGGGACCCCCTGAAACATACTTAGGATATTTTGTAACTTAATTATATATCTATCGATGTCCTTATAGTACTGACAATACATTGACACCATAACAATCATTTTTACTCCAACGCCGATAGTTACAACCACACAGTTTTTGTCCGTCAGCCCTGTTTGTACTATGACTACCAATTTATCGTCTAACACAACAATTCTTAATAGTATGACCTGTTTTGGCGCAGTGTCTACACGTGTCGTCGCCTTACACACTTTCGCAACATGCCCAAACTATCGAGTTCTTGACAAACACACACTTTACGCACTCCCTTTCATGTGGCATCTAGGCATAGCCCTTGGCCACCTTTCACACTACCTTTCACTCGACCCACTTGGCCCCCGGTTCGGATAATATCTTTCCCGGGGTTACCGTCCCTAACCAACGTGGAGGTGGGGTCATCCTACTACCCGACGTTATCACATATCCCTCCCCCTTTCACCATCATACATCCCGCTGCCACCCTAGTGTCCGCCGTGACTTTACGTCCTCTCACGGACCATGCCGGAGTGAGGATTTTACCCCATCTTCCGACACTTCAGAGTGGCCGCTTACACTCCTTCACCAAGTGACTGTCGTGCCTTTACGGCCTCTTACAGTTCATCGCGCCAAGAGATTTTTCCATCCCTTAACGGAACTTTAGGGGAATATCATCCAGCCGTACACAACCGCGTCTCTCGCCGGTACATTTACCCCGCCTTATATTCCACCCCACATTAAACACTTAATAATTTCTAGCTAACTAGTAGCTAATACGCCTCTGTTTTATCGTTATTTATACAATTAACTCTACTATATTGATTTCTCACTTAATCTAATTTTGTTTGTTTCAGGTGCGGACCATCGGCCAGACATTCAACAATTCAGCGTTTTTAAGGAGCTGTTGTAAGGAGATGTTTGTAATCTCTAGCACCTTCATTTATTTTATTTTATTTCACCTATCTTTCTTGTTTCAGATGACTCATCTTTCGACTATCACCCTCCACGGTGTTATCATTTTTCTAATTTATTTCTGTTTCAGGTACATACTCACGCCCTCATGGACTTCACTGGACTCTATGGAGCAGTCAGGATCGTCGTAAGAAACTAATAAACTCCGCAACATAACTTTATAAATATATAAATTCCAATATATATATAAACTATACAACAGTTGTGATTTTATGAAGAATTCACCAGGTAGTCGGAGAGGTAGGCCGTAAACAAGTTCGGCAGAGGAACAGCCAAGGTCTTCCTTAAGGGAAGATCTGAGGCCTAAAAGAACGACGGGAAGATCGTCATATCAGTTCCTTTGTTATCTTCTGGCAAAAATGATGTTGCTGACCTTTTGTCAATTGCGGACAAAATATGGGAAGCTCTGCAACTTTCACCCAATCCAACTTACATACCCGAAATTCATAAAATTTCGTCTAAAATTTAAAATTTCGTCTAATTCCTCTCTCGCGACTCGTTCCCAAGCATCTCTTCCAAGATATAACAGCATCTCTTCAAAACCTTTTAGTCACTATTCAAGCCTTATCCCAACGACTTTCGTCTCTAGAGGTCTTTACTAAATGTCTTTAGTAAATTTCAAACGTGATGACAATAATATACCCCCCCCCAATGCTGTCGTAGTTGCCATCACTCCAGAAGTAGATCGCAATCCTCATCCCAACATTCGCGTGATAGGTCAAATTCCTCTGCGCCTTCTAATATATGTTGGTATCACCATAAATTCGCAGATAGGGCGGAGAAATGCCAAGGATTTTGGTGTAAATATTCCACATCGTTCAACAATAAAACAAATAATTTGTCCCACCAAAAAAAAACAAATACCCAGTTTCAATAGAAAACCTTTTTCCAAATTCAAAATTTCGCCAAAATGGCAATCCCAATTTTCTATCAATCCTACAAGTTCGCGACTTTTCATTTTCGACAACCAAAATAATCTAAATTTTTTAATTGACACTGGAGCCGATGTTTCTGTATTACCTTTTAAATTTTATTCAAATCGAAAACAAGATACCATCTCTTCGCTTTCCGCTGCCAATGGTACAACAATTAAAGAAGTAATTCTAAGAAGGAATTTTCCTTTCATTTTTACCATCGCCAATGTTAAAAACCCAATCATTGGCGCTGATTTCCTTCATAAATTCAATCTTTTAGTTGATATTAAAAACAAGCGATTAGTTGATTCAACAACAAAATTATTTTCAATCGGTTCTATTGTCAATGTTACGGGTGATGATGTAAACCGGTCATTTACGATATGGACCGGGCAATATAGTTAAAAGCCATTTCTGTCGATTTTTACGTTAATGGCCGGTCGGTAACGTAAATTCCCTCTAATAGTGGGCAATGTTGTTAGATGTAAAACATATTCGATACAATTAACAACAACGACTGGGCACTGACGTTAATGACCACGTCATGTTAGACAATGATGAAAATAAGCAGGGTGTTATTGTGCTAATTGTCTGCTTTATTCTCACAAGGCAGGCTTCCATGGCATTTTCAATTACATAATATTCCTGTCGATTTACATATACATTTCTTGGTCTTGCATTTGGTTTTGCACTGACATCGTTGGTATCCCTGAGAACCAGAGGGACTAGCGCAAGCAGCAGCTTCACGCAATGTGATTTCCTTTTCTGTGGCTCCGTGCAAAAGTTGGTCTTTATCGAGAAGTTTTTCTTTACAAGGATTGAACTGGGATGTGGTGTACTTGGATTTTAAGAAACCGCTTTCTGTACCTAAAAATAAAATAATGAACTTTACAGTTTCAATTTTATTCCTAACTACAAAGCTTGTACAGATTATCCTCAACCTGAGTGATCACCGCTAGCACATTTCGTGGCGATCCACGTGCTCTGTCAACATCAGGTACAAAAACACGTACAGTGGCCCCCACATCCACTTCCGAAAATTTTTGATTCGATAACTTCATCATTTTTTGCGCTTGCTTTTCCAAACATTCTCTAGATTTCTTTCTGTGACTGACGATATTTTCTTGAGTTCTGCAGTGGAAACAAATTCCTTTAATATCCGTGTCGCCATCCGGTAGTAAAGTGTTGCATGTATTGCATTTCAGTGAAACCTGTGAGGCTAAAAAATATGAAAATAAGTATAACTTTAGCAAAATCTGTCTCAGTTACTTACGCTCCAAAACTTTATCTCGCTTGTTCATTTCTGGATCCGATTCTGTTTTCTTGGTTTGTTTAGGCGCTTTCATTTCAGATGTACTGTCATTATCGTCTCTATTGTCTTCTGTAGTATCTCTTGTATTATCATATGTACTATCTTCTGCATTATCTGCTGGTATGCGTAGAGTAGTTTCGTTAATTTGCTGATCTTCTTGTAGTGCTGCTGTTGCTGCTGCTTCGAAATCTTCTTCAGAATTAAGGTTTGGTATTTCATCGTAAGGGATTCCAGCTGATGCCAACCCCACCCTTGCTGAACACCCAAACATCGCTTCGTAAGGTGATCTGCCGATACCTTAAAAATACATATCTATCACTTAACATTCATAAATAAGGAAACGGATTGCCGAATACCTGAATGAAAGGCTCGATTTTTATGAAACTGTACGTATTTTAAGCCAGAAGGCCAGTCATTACTATTATTTTCTGCCATCCAAGTAGCCAACATTTCTTCAATGTCTCTGTTGGCACGTTCCACCGAGCCTTGGCTTTGGCTATGTCTCGGTTTGCCGTGTACGACTTTTATGTCGTTCCACATAGCGTGAAGTTCTGTTAGGACGGAGTTAACGAATTCTCGTCCATTATCTGAGTGTAAAATGACGGGTGCTCCAAACGTAGTATAAATGTCGAACAAATAATATGCAACTTCTTCCGCCCGTTTCGTTTTCAACGCTTTCAGAAGAACAAATTTTGTTAAATGATCTTGGTACACCATTATGAAACGAAAGTCGTGATAGCTTTGGGATTGCATATCGATGAGATCTACTTGAGCCCGGGAATTTAATGCAGAGTGCAATACAGGCTTTGTTACCAGACCTTTCTTTGGACGAGACGATTTCTTCTGGCAGTGTACGCAGAGTCGCAAATATGCCATAATTGTTTCTTTCGTGATATTGCAGTACTTCGTTTTTAGTTCAGCAACCATTCTGTTTCTGCCGCCATGGCCAATAGCAGAATGCGTAGAATGAAGAATATCAAATAAATCTTCGTTTGGAACATAATACAGTACGGGTACTGCATTATCTGATACAGGCTTAATTATTTGCTCATGTAATACCTACAAATGTTTTCTGATGTTAGCTCAAACGCTACTTGAAAGTTTTGTAGAGGACTATGCAGATATCTATGGAGAAGATTTTATTACCAGCAATGTACACAATCTCACACATTTAGTTGATGAAGTTCGAAGATTCGGATCTTTGCCTTCTTTTAATGCTTATCCTTTTGAAAATAGATTATATTTAATCAAGAACTTGTTAAGAAACGGAAATTTACCATTGGCACAAGTAGCGAAACGTATGAGTGAAGTTATACATTGTGAAATGGATTATTTTGGATATAACAAAAATTTAACTTTTCCAATACTCAAAGAAAAAAGTGAAGAAGGATTCTTTACTAAAATTGAATTTCATGGGTATTTTTTATCCACAAGAAAGCATGATAAATGGTTCTTAGACTTTGATAATAATATTGTAGCTATGAAATGTGCCTTACTAGTAGATGGGAAAATAATTATAAGAGGTAACGTCATTCGTGACTTGAAAGATTGTTTTGAGAGACCTATCAAATCATCTTACCTAAATATTTTTAAATCAATTTCTACTGATTCATCGTACATCAAAACCTGCCCAGTAAATAATATAAAATGTAAACTTGTAACCATAGAGTATAAAACTGAAGTTATATTTGTACCTATTCTACATACTTTACAAAACAAAACAAAATGATACTAATGGTAATGGAATAAAATGATAAATATTTCGCTTAAATTTATTTAGATTATTCTACATCTTCACCTCTCCTACAATCCATCATACTTCCTATGTCTTTCACAACCTATAGTCTTATTTAGAAAGTCTGGTACTTGTAGTACTTACCTTATAAGATAGATTTTTGGGTCACCTTTTGATAGCAGATGTTCTTTTTATGTCGCTTTCATGGCGTTTTGTTGAATTTCGTATAACATTTTTGAAAAACTAATCACAATTCTTTAGTGTGAAGCCATCATCAGAGTTCTTTATGACTTTATGTAAAGAAAAGATTTATGACGTTTTTATATATTTGGAATGGAATTTTTTCTTGGTTATTTCGTGCGCCTCCAGCCCAAGAACATAGTCATAAATTTTCTGGTGAACATTCTGTCAACTAATGAATAACAATTATTTATGCCAATTCCGTTTCCTTTTCAACCACAAATATTGGAAAGTTCCTTAACATATTTTAGAAACTCATTTTTGTCTGCTAACTTTTCTTCTAATATTTTTAAGTCTTCTACTGTTTTGACCAGTTTAATATGGAAAATATCTGAATCACAATTGTTTATTCCAGGTGGCTTTATGATGGTATTATTATTAGAACTTGAGCTGACTATTATATCCATCATGACCTCAAATTTTGCTAATTGGTGAAAAATTTTCGTTTGATTTTCCATTATTGTGGTTTGATTTGTTAATGAATTTGTTAAAATGTTAAATTTGTTAACAATGAATTTGCATTAGTATCATCATTTATAAAATGTAATTGTTAAGTGTCTTCTGTTGTGTTTATAGTTTTTTGTTCCGACATAATCATGGCAACATTGTTATTAGATAAATTTAAAATATCGTTATCTTCTGTCTACAACGTGCAAACGAAAGGATTAAATTGTTTTAGACTTACAATGAATTATATTTTATCTTACCAAACAAGCCATTGCTGTAGCATTAAAATCCTTATGATTTTGTGTTATTACTTTTTTGTTCTTTTGCATATTTGTAGGGTCGTCGGTGTCATCCTTCTCGAGCATCCTACCAAGTTCCTCTTCAGCAATTTCCAAATTCATTAAGTGGTTCCTCTCAATTTACATTTCATTCGAAACCATCCATCATCTGGTAACGAATTTTCATTTTTTACTAATTTATCTGCGTTAAATTTTGGCCAAGCCAATTCCTCTTGGTTTTCCCAAGCTGCAGGAACTATAGTGAGGGTTTTCAGTCCTCTTTCTGTAGTTTGTACAATTTTGAACATGCTACAGTTGTTAACAAAATTCAAAGTTAATAAAATAGTTGCATCGTTTTCTTTAGATAAATATCATAACTAGGTATAAAATCTGTAGCCATATAAATTGTATTACTTACCTGAATATTGTATCTATGTTAGCTGTAATATTCTAATATTTCACTTACAAACCAAACTAAACAACAAACTGTCAAACTAAAAATTTGTAGGTTAGATGTTGTTTTATAATTGCTTTATAACTGCAGCTAACAACACAATAAGGTTATTTAATGGTTATATTTTGAAACATATTTCTTTTGGTCGATAGGTGGCAGTTCAGGAGTAATGCTTATAATATTGGCTAATAGATGGAGCTGTCGAACATTTCTTGTGACTGGTGTTTATCAAACCGAGTATATAAGCTGTAATGTAGCTTAAGATTTAACTGAAGTGAATAACTAAACGTGTTTTTAATGAACTACTGGTTAATCAATCAACCAAGTCATTACACTGCATAATTAATCATAGCTTTTGTGATTATAGAAGCACCCGCTTAGGATTTAGGGAAAGTGGGTTTTTTTAACTCATTCAATGTTTTAAAATGAAACCAAACAAATTTGTCTTATTATTATGCATCAAGATCTACCTAACCGTGAATAGTGGTCCTGATATTTTACAATAGTTATGTAGCTATTATAAAATAATTATTTAATAATTTTATAAACATGTTACAGACGCTCATATTAATTACTTTATCATAAAATAGGTATAGAGATTATTTTAAAACAGTTACTTAATTATTTTATAAATATTCTATGATAGTTTTATAACGCATTTTGTAATACAATTGAAGGGTTTCTTTCAAAAACGACACATGGACACAAAACATTTATGGACATGTGTCGTTTTTGAAATAAACCCTTCAATTATATAATATTGATAAAATTATTATATAAAGATATTAAACAATTTTTATTGTTGCTTTATAGATGTTTGTATAACTATTTTATAGTAGATCAAGACACAGCTATAAAATAATTTAAGAAGACTAATATATTATATAAATTGTGCCTATTTTGGTGCTATAGTTGTTTTATAAACATTTTTATTACGTTGCTGAGACTGAATATGTTATATAAAATTTATCACGGAAACGTTTTATAGCTTTAATAAAATAAGAAATTGTTAGTTGGGTGCGACCCAAAAATCGAGAATCTGATACCCTTAACAGCAGGGCATGGGCAGGAGGATGCGGAGACGGCTGAGCATAAAACATGCTCAGCCATCTCCGCATCCTCCGCACATACTCGGCATTCAACATCGTCGCCTAAACCCCACAAGTTGAGGTGTGCTTTTAATCGGCAGTGCCCAGTAAAGACACAACTTATATGCTGCTACGAGCAAATCCTAAAATATTTCCGGGTTTGACAGTGGCGATATTAATAAACACAACAATATATATATAACAATATATATATAACAATATATATATAACAATATATATATAACAATATATATATAACAATATATATATAACAATATATATATATATAACAATAACAATAATTAATAAATAATAACAATAAATTATAATAACAACAGATTACTATTTTTAATCAATATTACATGAACCAGGGTGGTAATTATCATAAAAACAGGTAAAACAGTAAGTTTCACGACATCTAGCACACTGAATAAATGAGGATTCATTACAACGGCAAGGCTTTCTTAAAATATCTGTCGAAAAACAAACTTGATTCACATTCATAAAAACCTCTCTATTGTCGCAAAGTTTAGAAGCAAACTATGCGTACCCATATACGTAATCATATTTAAAAAAATTGAAAAATTGATACAATCTTCACGAGAATTAATTTCGTGATTTTGTTCAATTAAAACCGCACAATTTTGAAATGTTTTAACCCATTCGTTACCAGCGGGTCGTTTCTGACCCACAACATAAAATAATTTCTATCGAGACAACCCTGCGCGTAATCGTTCCGGTTTTGTTACGTGTCCGGCGGCAAAGGTTTGTAACATCTAATTTATCATCTGGCGTTGCCCCCCTCCATTCTTTAGAAACAAAAGACAACGTCAAATAATAACATGGCAGACCCGGCTTCGCGCTCTCGCTATTATCGGTAAGTATACTGGCAAAAACTTCGTATATTCTCTGAACCTTATATAAATATGAAAGAGAAACATTCACTGATTATGTGGACAGTTTCAGATTGTTCAAATTCATTGTTACGTTTTTTTTTTGTCTCTCTTTGATTTAATTTTTCTTTTGTGTTCATTTCTACCTTTTATGTGATTTATTTGTTATCAGTGTAGATTGGTTTGCATAAAGTTTTAGTTATTTTATTAATTTCATTTTTAGTTGTTCATTAATTAGTTTCGGGAATTTAAATGTATATATTTATGTTTATTAATTTGTTTTTTTTTCAGTGGCGTATATCTGGAACTTTTATTCCTTTTTCTTTTTTGTTTGTTAAGTGACGTTTTGATTTTTGTGAGAGAGAATGCGTGTTCTTGGATGGTTGCGTGGGGGGTGATATGAATGTCTTCAAGAGTTTTCCGGTCCTCTTTGGTAACCAGCGTGTATCCACGTCGGATGTTTAAGAATTTTGGTTTTGAAATTCGCCATTTTTTTTTGAAGTTTTATTACGTGGTGAATTACCTTTCCGTTTCATCGGGATTTATCTTATCATCCAATAATAATTTTGGTATCGATTTATTTCGATCGCCTCAATTTCTTCGGATATTTCCGGATATTTTGTGTTTCACAAAAATCTTATTACTGGAGTTAAGGTTCTTTCAACAAAACCAAAGTTTTTAAAAAAGAAACTTTAAACTAATTTATTAATTTTTTTATTCAAAGGACAGCGACATGCGACGAATTAAAACTAACTTAACTTAAAACGGCGTCGAGGTGTTTTATAACAAATG